CAATCCAGGATACACCAAAACTTAATGTTAACATTTAAAATCCCTTCCAAAGTTCCTCACCTCTTTAGGTACCTTATTCATTCTTCTGAACATACCAATAAGAAGTCTCCACAAATATAAAGTTAAAAGGGAAAAATGGCCTTAAGACAAAAGATCTAAAGTCACAATTTTTTAATAATGACAAAACAAATGTTCTTTTCTAAATGTGAATGTTTACTTTTTATTTGCTTACACTTTGTCCTTCTCCAGTGCTTTTAAAAAGCATTTACAAATTACCCCTACAATGTCCAATGTGAGTGAGGGCCAGGCAACTGCCTTCTCTCTTCACACTGAAAGGACAAGAACTAGGAGAGTCTTGGAGGTTAAGCATAATGCTCAAGGTCACATGCCAGTTGGTAACATGGCTCAGTCTAGAGCTCCATGGACTTTAATTCTAAGTGTATGGCAACAGATAACACAAAAATAATTTTCTTCTCCTTTTGATCACTGACAGAGTATACTGTTACCCATTTTCCTAATACTAAAAGACATGGATAGGCCCTAAAGGTTATTTCTATTCCTCTTTCCTCTTCTTTCCAGACAATTCTTCATCAGAAACTTTTGTTTTTTTAAAAGCTGAGGACATCCCACATATCTGTAAAATGCCAAAGAGTACTCAAATGTCGTCACCAAAAAATGTTAAATAAAAGAAAAAGATGTGAGCTACAGAAATCATGTTGAAATCTGTCAAGCAAAAAATTAGACCTTCCATCCTGTAAAGTATATGCCTCCGTGTAGCTTCTAAGTGCCTATAAATTAATTGTTTAAAGTTTCATTTTAGATTAACTGCTTTCAAAGTGTATGAACAAAAAAGGCAAGTTTTTAAAATTAATTGTTTTAGCCAATGAAAATGCAATATATCAACTAAAATGGATTAACTGATTATTTGGTTAAACAAAGGATTATGTATACAAAATTACCCACATTGTGCTAGATAGTTCACCCATTTGAAAAGTTTTAACAATGTTATGGAACACTGTAACACTTCTGAGTAGATGAGTATTCAGATTTTGTTACAGAGGACATCTCTTTCATGAAAGATATTTCTTGCATTTTATACTTTCAGAGGGCACAGTAATTAAAGTGGTTTTATTGACAAGTAAGGCAGAATGATTCTATAAATGAAGCAGGTGGTGTAGGCCCCGTCAATTTGGCCTATTGAAAAAATATGTATTACCCAGTTGTATAATGCCAATTAAGTGTGTGGTAAAGTTTAAAGTGTTTTATTTACTGATTACATATACCTTCTTCATGATTCCTATTACACTATTTACTACAATGATTTGAAAAGCTAATTATTAAGTCTGCTCAAGAGAAAGAATGTCACTCTTGAACGGAAAAAGAAATAAAGCTTAGGTCCTTAAGGAAATTATGCTGTTTTATTCCCACAGTATTGGTTTAATAAGTTGACTTTTATTATTATTAATTATGAAGCCAATAATAACATCATATCATCCTTAAGGACATTCAAAATCTAATTTGTATATCTATATTAATTATAAAAACATCCAACTTAGTGAAAGGAAGTTTGGGAATCAGAAAGTCTTTCAATTAAAAAAGAAGGCATGTTAGGTATTAAGATGAGATATTTGATAAGTACTTTTCAGAAATATTTTAAGTTTAATCTTTAAAATAAAAATTATTTTCCTAATAAAACATTATAATTCCATTTCTATTTACAAAAATAGTAATTGAAAACATAAAAATTCAATTCAATAACACAAATAATAGTATTCTCCATAATATCACTTACAATGTCATTTAAGCACTCATAAGCAAATCGAGAACAAGATTGTTTAATCCATTCCACAACATTCATCAAGACTATTTCTGTACCAGGCACCCTGCTAGGCACCTGAGATTAAATTTTGAATGAAATACTACTCTTATCTTCAAAGAGCTTTGTGTTTAGTAGAGGAGGAAAATCACATGTAACAGCAAATGTGTGATACATATCATTATAATAGAAGTATGCATACTCTGTTGTGCAAGTTAAAATCAAAGAGTAATCAGCTCAACTCATCCAATAACTAAATTTCATAAAAACTCATGTAAACTTTAAAGTGCAAATCCCAAAAAACATTGTACAGGTGGATAAAAACTCTGCTTAATTCACTGACAGTAATAACTCTTTATCTTTACAAAAAGCATACTTCTAAAAAATATAGTCACTCACGTTTCTAGATGTACTAGGAACAAAGCAGAGAATTAAACTTGAAAATAGGTACTAAACACCAGTCTAAACTCATTCTGACCTCATGATAACCCTATGAAGAAAATTTTTCTATTAATCCCCACTTTATAGATGGGGAATCTGAGGTTAATTTGGCCAAGATCACAAAGATAGCAGGAGGAAATACTGAGACTTGAACCCACAGAGACTGGTTATGGAGGTCCCCTTCTTAACCACTACACCAGACACCCTCTCAGGGGGTGATGATGATGATGATGGAGGTGGGGCAGCTAACACCAAGTGCTCCCTGACCTGTGCCCTCTCACTTACCCTTAAGGCAACCCTTAGAGGGCAAAGTCATCCCTCTCGTTTATAGGAGAAAACTCTCACAGGCCAGGTTTGAACTTGCCTAAGGTCAGTCAGCCATCCTGGGATTGTGACTAGATTCAAACTCAGGCAGCATGGCTCCCCTGTGTTATAAGGCCTCTGAACGATTTCAGTCTTAAACACTCATGAAAAAGGCCACATGATGAAATGTATTAAACAATTCAGAAAGGCTTTGTATAAGTCTTCCTGAAACACTCTGCCAGGTTTGGGGGCTTATGACAAGCATTTCCTTATGACAGCATTTACATTTGAGTCAACTTTACTACTTTGGGCTGATCATAAACACATTGCTCCTCTTTAAAAAGAAATTTTTCTGTAGAAACTTGGCAGACTTCAGTACAGGAACAGTCTATTCTTTACAATTAAATTTAGCAACAACTTATTCTGGTTAGTCTGAAAGAAAAGGAGAGAATGAACTACTAAGAGGCCTTTCGTGTACTTTAATATTTCAAAACATGTTTGGTTTGGCCTAATTTGAATCTTGTGGACAAGGAGACCAGAACTTGATTCAAAAAGAATAAGTACCATTTTAAACAGGCTGAATTCTCAAAAGTAGCCTCAGAAGGTGATTCAGAGTATTTCTCATAATTTTTATTTTTACCTCAAATTAAATACTAAAGATGCATAGGGGAAGTCTCATAAAGCATATATATGGCCACACACGTGTATTTTTGAACAGCCTGCAACCAAGAAACCAAATTAAAATTTTGCTCAAGAGCAATCAAGTATACAAAAAAGGGATATCAAAAGAAAAAAAAATCCCTATTTGTCTTTTAACACACCCCCACTGTGCCCAGTGAGGAAATAAAAAATTCTGTGTTATAATTTCTGGCTAAAATAGAGGTGAGCTAAAGATGAAGTGTCAAACTGGCTTTCCATCTTACCTCGCTTTCCTCCAACAGGTTCAAAGACTTTGTAATCTTTACATTAATATTGAATTCTCTTTTTTTTCCAAAAGGGAACCTACGAAACTATTTTAAAATAAAAACAGCAAGCCATGCCACTAGGCAACCTGTCTTCTCGTGATCTATCTCATTCAAATCAGACATACCTTTTGCTTTGCCTTTACTGAATAAAAGTTTAACTTTGATTTGGAAGACAACGTACCCGTTATTAGCCGTCTGACACTTTTTGCAGGTCATAGAGTCTATCAGTTCAATTCGCTGATTATGACCGCTCACTAAGAAAGCTTGCCATTACCGCTCATTTTATAAGCGTTGGCAATACCTAGAAATACAGCAAGCTGGTGAATAAGGAGTCGAGGGGCGGGGGAAAGAGGGAGCGAGGGAGGAAGGCAGTCGCCACCTCAAATCCACGCCGGACCGGGAACCTCCAGCCCACAGCGTGATCCCTTACCCTCCCCAAAGTGGACCTGCTACATTTTCCCAGACCGTCCCCCCGCCCCAACGCCCGTCCCCGCTAACCCAACACGGCACTCACCCTTCAGCGAAGTCGGCACCGGGTCCAGCTCCGAGACGGGTCGGGGTGGCAGCGAGGGAGGGGACGTCTGGGCTGTGGGCGGGGGGTGTCGGTGCGTCACTCGAGTGCAGGACGGTGAGTTCGAGGGGTGGGAGGGGAGCGGAGCAGGGAAATCAAGTCACTGCCGAAAAGGGATGAGGAGCAAGAGGGGGGTGGAGGGGAAAGCCCCTTTCCTAAAATAAGCCCACCGGCCCCTGCGACCCCCTGCCCCAGGGAGGGAAAATAAAATCCGGGGAAATGAAAAGACTGACAAATAAACCTCTAAAACGATGAGATGCGAGGATCAGACTTTAATTTAAAAGGGGGAGACTGAGCGAGGGCTGGAGGGGTGACAGAAGTGGCTCTAGGTCTATCCCATGCCTTTGCAGTCCCCAAGCGGAGGAGGAGGCTGGCTGAGGGGAAGTTGCAGCGGCTCCCGAGGAGGAGGCGGAGGAGGCGGAGGAGGAGGTTACACGGTAACAAGTACAGACAGACAGCCATGGATCAGAGGGGCGCTGCGAGCAGGGGCGGCCGCGGCGGGGCGAGCGGCCGCGGCAGCAGTACCGCCTGCTCGGCTAGCTCAAGACATTTAATTGGATTGATGGGTTGTGCAGTGACTCACAGACTTTACAGAGTCGTAAAGCAGTCCCCGCCCAGCTGGACAGGGAGATGCGGTGGGGACGGCAGAGGAAAGGGGGGCTGTGAAAGAACCGGGAGGGGAGGAGGCGAGTGAGAGGGCGAGGCGTTGGAGGGGGCGGGGAGCGGAGCGGAATCACCCAATGCCGAAGCCCGCCGCTCCGACGGGCGTGGGCGTCGGCCAATGACGATGCGGCTCGATAGGCGGCAGGCTTCGCCCCTGGCCCAATGAGTCTTCTAAGGACACTGCCGCTAACGGGGCGGGGGGAAGTGGAGTGGGGGGTGGGGAGTAGTGGGTGGACGTTGAAGTAGGGAGGGAGCGGTGGAGGGAAAGATGAGGCACGGGAGACCGGCGGAGTCACTCAGCCCTCCTCGCTCCAGAAGTGCGCCTTCTGCCAATCCGAGGGCCGCCTGGGGGTGATGGACGCAAGCGTGTGCCCAATGAGGAGCAGAAGGTGTCGCTCCGAACCACAGGGGAAGGAGTGGGCGGGCCAAGGTCCTCCCCCCTCTCCGGCACCCAGGTCCTCCCTCCCGCCCTGTTCAGGTCAGTCACGCAAATAACAGAGTGAGGGCTGGGGCCGTGCGCGGGGGTGGGGCGGCGGAGGGGCCGCGCTGCCGACGGCGTGACAGCGAGAGGGACTGGCTGGGCTGCCGACTCCGCACCGACCGGAGGAGGCGGTGAAGAAGGCTGGCTCCTTACTCAGCCTTCAGGCTGCTGCTGTTGCTGCTGAGCCTCTGCCCGGCGCTGCCTGGGAGCCCCTGCGGCCAAACCCCACTCCCGAGTGGCAGACAGATTTGGAGTGAATCGGATCAAAACTTTGCCTCCCGTCGGTGCAGTGCCCACTCTCGGAGACAACTCCGTGTGACGTCCTGTGGGGCTGTGCTCCGGAGCCGAGGGATCTGGACGCCGAGACCGGAGGCATTTCCCTCCTTGCTTGCCTGTGTCCTGGGGAAGTCAGGGTAGGGTGTGGACAGGTTGAAACACCTCCTGAATACATAACATTTCTTTATTGGGTTTCTGGAAAAGGCACTTAACCTGACGTGAGTGAAGCTGTGTGGGCTTTATGCGTGTGTATATCAGCTTCCTCCAGTCCTTCCTCCCACAAGCATTACTCTTTTTCTGCCACTTCTCTGCCCAGTCTCCTCACCTTGGACCCTGACACCTTGTACTCACTACTAGATCTCGCTGCTCATTCCCCGGAGCTACGGCTTTTTCCTCAATTTCTTGCCTACTGTCTAGGAATCATTGTACACACCTTAACACTCCACGCACTTGTACTTGAAAGTAACTGGGATCACTAATAAACCTGAACAGAGGTACCCGCAAAAGAAATACACTGGCAAAAATCCACCTTGTTAACCACAAGATGCATTTCTGCAGGTTATTGAAATTTATGACAATTGCTTCCTATTAAAAAAACAAGGAAAGGCAAATCACATATCACATCCCTAGAAAAAAAGATTTTCCAGTCCACTTAGAATACTCAGTATCCATTTAAAGTCAACTAGAGAGACCTAGGATTGACTTGTGGTCTTGAAGGGAGCAAGATCATTTTTTCCCCACAATTATCAGAGTAAAACCTACAGTGGTCTGGAATTCAGAGGAGAGGTAGTAAGTGAACAATAAGCCTTAAGGCTTACCCTAGTCATAGGGAGGCTTTCCTTGATTGCTGTCATTTTAAGATAGGGACCCTTCCCCTGAACTGTAATTGTGACACTCAACCTGACACCTCTTACCTCTTCTCTTTCTGATTTTAGCCTTATTCCATGATGTCAGCCTGCATCCTGAGTTCACCTAAGAAAATGAACCAACCTGCGGACTTCCTATAGTGCCCAGAATGTGTGCGCATTGCCCCTCGGTGTGTTGAAACTTCTTTGCAGTTTGGCAGTGCAAGGACAGCAGCATCCTCATTCCGGGACATAATGATACTCAGGAGGGGGGCCATGTTCCCTTAGCCAGGTCACCCTGTGATGATTGAAACACACTAAATCCCTCCTGTGGGAAGAATCAGCTCCATCTCTAGTGTGGGCTATGCTACTACATTTAAGAATGTGCTAATGATACTTTCAGAAAGCCTATTTCTTATTTCTCTTGCTGTGAGGTCATTTTATGACTCAGATGAATATACTTGATCGTGAGGTTATCTTATGTACTATGAATGTCACTAAAAACATAGATGATTTTGAGTCTAAACTACACTAGAGGATCTTTCAGAGGATCTCCAAATAGCCAGGGTTAGCCTTCTGTGGCAGAAGTTGCTCCCTTGTCAGTTGATATTGGCATGCCTCCAGTCCCCACCATGTGTCATCTTCTAATTCTGTGCTCACCCTATTCCAGTATTTCTTAAATGGTTGTCTTAGGCCCACCTAGATTCCTGAGTTTGCTCTCAGACCTGCTGAATCATCATCTCTGTAGGCTGGTCCTGGGCTTCTGCATTTTTAGCAAATATGCCTGTAGCGTGAAGAAATATTAAAAATCAAGTGTTTCATTTGAAACCCCCTTTTTATTCCTTTCTTTTGAAAATTTAAGAACTGTTACTTATTTATTCCTTCCTTTTTTCTTTCTCACACATATTTCTTTCCTTTTTTTCCACATATATTCCTTTCTCTTATACATTTTTTCTGTCATTTTTGTGATCACTTACCTTTTTATATTTCTTGTGCACAGGATTGTGTAATACACTGGCAGAGTAATCCCTTAAAAAAAAAATGGGTGAAGTTGGCAAATTCCCTTTCATAAATACCATAGGTGTACTTTATAACTACACCATTTAAAATGTATACTAAGTCAAATAGATGTATAAGCTTAAAAATAACACTGTAATTGATGTTATGTATAAATCTCAACATGTGTGAAACTTACTAGTTTATGATTTCGAAGTATACAAAAAGAATTTTTTACATGGGGGAGTCACGTTTCAAAATGCAAATTTCAATGTACAAATGATTTGTTACTATCATTTTCTAAACAGTGGAGTGAGACTAATGATGTACTGAGAACTGTTATGGTTACCAAAAAAAATAAAAAGTGCTATATGAGATTTTTGTTATCTCAAAGAGCTTATGTACAACTCACATGGACCAGGAAGCAAAAGTACATCCTTTATTGAAGATAGAGGTTTCAACCCGAGTTTCATTAGCATTCCTACAGATAGAGCCCAAATGAACATTAGCTCGCAATCCAAATTACAAAATAAATGAATTAAAAAGTCATAATCAGCAAGAGGAGGCAGAGGCAGAAAAAAAGAAAAATTAGAATTAGATTCTAAATCTGAAAAAGAACAAGAATAGGCCCATTTTGCTTATGAACATATATGCATAAAATTCTAAGTATTAGCTAACCAAATCCAACATTCTTACTCCAGAAAAACTAGAAGAAACCTTGAGACTCATTTCCTGGAGAAGGAAATGGCAACCCACTCCAGTATTCCTGCCTTGAAAAGTCCATGGACCTAGGAGCCTGGCGGTCTGCAGTCCATGGGGTTACATGACTGAGCATATGTGCACAAGGGTGGAGGGAGATGGGTTGGTAGCAATAACGTGGTAGAACTAAAAAAAAAGAGAGACTCATTTCCCTTTCTTTAGAATATACCTGTCTAGCTACCTATCTAGCCGTTTATCATGAAAATGTAATAAATCAAGTAGGGTTTATTTCAGAAATTCAAATATGATTTAACACCAGAAAACCTATCCAAATAATTTACCTCAAGAAGGCTAAGAGAGAGAAAGCATTGGAAAATGTGCATCACTTATTAATAATAGAAACTTTCAGAAAAACTAGGAATAGGAAGAAATGTACTTAACTTTATGAAGGACCAAAAATGTACTGCAAAATATTATTAATGGATTAACTTTAACACATTCCATTTAAGTGTGGGATCAAGACAAGGTTGCCACTGCTGCTCAAATGATATTGAAAGTCCTGGCTGACGAAATAAGATTTGTAATAAAAGGATGAAGAAATTAAATGGAAGAATCAGAAGGAAAGAGAGAAAAATCGGGATTTTTGCAACAATATGATCAACCACATAAAACACCTAATAGAAACAATAAGCTATTAAAAATAATACAAGAAAGCCACAAAGCGACAGACAGCAATTTTTTTCTCTTTCTTCCACAGAAGTACTTTTTTATGGGGCACATGGCCAACCAGAATAAAGACAATGTTTGCTAGCCTCCTTTGTAGCTGTGTTGCCACGTTCTAGACAATGGGTTAAAAGCAGATCTGGTGCACACGTTCCTAAAGGGAGAGAGTATGCTTCACCCTCTTTCCTGCCGTCTGAAATGAAGATAGAGTAGCTGGAGCTTCAGCAGTCATCTTAGACCATGAGCTGAGGTTGGATATGGAAACCACACACAGAGGAACAAGAAAGAAGGCACCTTCTGTACTAGCACCAACCCTAAAGCAGCTACCTCCAGACTTCTGGAACTTCTTGAACACACCTCCATCTCATTCGTGCCACTCTTATTTTAGTTTGTGTGTATGCATGTATGTTGTTGCAGACAGCCAAACTTAATCCTAAATGATACAGCAACATTTCCAAATTCAAAATCATTTCATGAAAACCAGAAGTATACTTACATACTAGTACTAAAAAATTAAAAATCAGATACTATTTATAATAGCAAGAAAGCTCTAAAAGTCTTCAGGGATTAACCTAAGAAAAATGCACAAACATTTATGAAAAAAAAAAAAATACTGGACTTCCCTGGCAGTCCAGTGGTTACGACTCTGCCCTTCCACTGCAGGGGATGCAGATTCGATTCCTGGTTGGGAAACTAACATTCTGCACACCGCATGGTGTGGCCAAAAAAAAAAAAAAAAAAGACTAAAGAAAAAATGTTAATGCTATTAAAGACTTCAAAGAAGACCTAAATAGGGGTGTGTATAATGTTTGTGGATAGGATGAAGTAATGTTACTAAGATAATTGTGTGTGTGTGTGTGTGTGTGTGTGTGTTTAGTCTCTAAGTTGTGTCTGACTCTTTGCGACCCCATGGACTGTAGCCTGCCAGGCTCCTCTGCCCATGGGATTTCTCAAGCAAGAATACTGGAGTGGGTTGCCATTTCTTGCCCCAGGGCATCTATCTTCTTGACCCGGGGATCAAACCTGTGGCTACTGCTGCATCTCCTGCATTGCAGGCATATTCTTTAACCACTGAGGCACTGAGGAAGCCCACTAAGATTTTAATGATCTCTAAATGTGTTCATAAACTCAGTGCAAACCATTCAAACTTGTAACAGGATTTGAAGAATTTAAACATTCTCAAATACATATGAAAGATTAAATTCCATTATAATCTGGTCATTTTTTAAAATGAAAATCAGAGAGGGGAAATTTACCTTCCCAGATAATAAGGCATATTATAAGTCATAGTAGCAGACATGTAAAACAGAACCAGAATAGACAACTCAGAAACAACCCATTTACCTATGTGAACTTGGTATGTGATAATGGTAACATCACAAATCTATGAGGAAATCATGTAGAGACAGTCAAATATCACTACAATAATAATACCATATAACAAATAACCCTGAAATATCAGTGACTTATTAAAGCCATTGTTTTTTCTCTTTCACAGGTCTGTATGTGAACTGAGACTCTGCTGATCCCATGTGGTTAAGACTTGATTGGACTCAGCTGGGCTTTGCTCCAGGACACAGGTTAAGTTCAGGTCTTTATCACATGTCTCTTTCTGGCAATGACAGGAGCTCAAGAGGTGAAGTCAAATCACTCAAACACATTTAACACTTCTGCTGCCATCATATCTCCTAATATTTCATTGGCCAAATAAGTCACATGGCCAAGTCCACCAAAGTAGTGGAAGGTGCTGCAAAACCACATGGCAAAGAGCATAGATGTATAATTCTATAACTGGGAGGATGTGAAGGATTAGGAATAATAATCCAACCTAACAGAGAAGTTTTGTTTCATAGATAATGTTGGAAAAATTGGTTCACCATAGAGAAAAATAAAGTTGCATCCATATCTCATACCATTTGCAAAGGTAAAATTTCAATGAATAAAAAAAACCTAAAAATGAAAGGGAAAACTGTAAAGCTAATAGAAATTAAAACCAGAAGAATTGCTTTGGAATCTTAGGATAGGAAAAGATTTCTTCAAAGACTCTGAAAGCATAAACTATAAAACCAAAAGATTGATGAACTTGACTATATCAAAATTAAAGCTTTCTGGTCGACAAAGAACACCATAAGACAAGAGAAAGTTGATAGATTGAGGGATGTTTCCAAACCAACAAGAGATTAATGTCTACAATATGCTAGGAATTTCTGCAAATCATTGAGAGAAAAAACAAAACAAAACACAGGAAACACAATAGAAAAATAGCCAAAGGATATGAACAGGCAAATTTACAGAAAGGAAGCTTGAGAGACTAACAACTAGATGAATAGATATATTGTACAACATGGGGACTATAGCAAATATTTTATAATAACTATAAATGGAATATAACCTTTAAAAATTGTAAATCATGATATTGTACACCAGTAACTTATATAATATTGTATACCAATAATTGTTGTTCAGTCACAAAGTCATGACCAATTCTTTGTGACCCCATGGACTGTAGCAGGCCAGGCCCTCACTATCTCCCAGAGTTTGCCCAAGTTTACATCCATTGAATCAGTGATACTATCCAACCATCTCATCCTCTGCTGCCCTCTTCTCCTTTTGCCAATTTTTTCAATTTACCAAATATATTTCAGTTTAAAGAAGCAGATGAAGAGATATACAATTCCACTTATAATCAGATAAATGCATATTAAAACAAGACACTTCTTTACATCAGTTAAATAGGCAAAAATGTGAAAGTTGGGTAACACCAAGTGTTGGCTAGGATGGGGGGAATCAGGAATCCTCATGCATTGCTATTGGGTGTTAAGTCCCTGGTGTAGTCATTTTGGAGTTATCTGGAAATAGGTAATAAAATGTAGCATGTGGGGACTTCTCTGGTGGTCCAGTGGTTAAGATTTTGGCTTCCAGTGCAGGGTCTGCTGGTTCGATCCCTAGTTGGGGATATAAGATCCCACATGCCTCCCTGTCCAAAACACCAAAGCATAAAACTGAAGCAATATTGTAACAAATTCAATAAAGACTTTGAAAATGGTCCACATCAAAAGAAAAGAAAAAGTAGCATATGTTTTCCTAATGGCCTAGCAGTTTCACTCCTGGGAATATATACCTTTAAGAAAATCTTGAAACATGTCTATAAAGGGGTACAACTGAGAATAGTCATCACAGCAGCACTTGAATTAGCAGCATATTGTTGGCAAGCTTAGTATGTATTGTATGTATGCAATACAGAGAGGAAATAAAATGTAGGAAATAACTCTGGGAGATATTATGGAATAACATGCAGCTGCTAAAAGTAATGCACTAAATGTATGTCTTACAAAATGGATAAATGTTTTATACTGAAAAAGGATAAGAAACAAGAAAACAGTGTAAGCCCCAGGCCTTGGGATGTCTTCCACTAAAGGGTACATCAGTGTTTTTCATTTCTGCTCTTAGCTGGGGCACTTTGAAGGAAGGATAAGAAGGTATTGTTGTGATTCACTTTTAACTCAAATATTTCCTTCTAGTTTTGTTGAGGTTGTTGCAGGTTTTCATGCAGGTTCCTCCCCCTTACCCCCTATGTTTGCAGATAGATTGGTAATTTTTCAAAAAAATTTAAGGGTTTTATAATCTAAAGACAGGGGGAATGGATGTGATGGCTCTTGAAGTTTCTCCCAGCCCCATCAGGTTAAGAATCTCCCCCATGCAGACATGTGGGAAACACAATTGATTCCCACAAAGGTACACTGAGAACAGCCACTGCTTGGGTTATACTGCCTTAAAAGCTTGTCTCTGCCCTAAACCTTCCTTAATGGCTCATTACTAGCATATGAAATTCTGATGCTTAGTAATGCTACACTATGATTTCATGGCCCTCAAAGTCCAAGAATTTGCAAGAGTCCAGGTGGGGAGCGCCACAGGGCGGCAGCCCACACACTTCCAGGAGGACTAAAAAACAGGTGCAGGCTTCTCTCTGACTAGCTTTGGGTCCCCAATTTCTGCAGAAGCTAGGATGTGATCTTGCAAAGATGACTTTTTTGAGATCAAATATCTTACGACTCTCATATAGGGTCTGTAACACTCATCACCAGGTCCCAGGATTGGGACATTAATGTGAGCTCACGTGTATTACGTAACCCTAAAAAGAGCTAATGATTTATCCATCAGTAGCTTGTGTAACTCCTGGGAGCTGTGTAATCCAATCATCCCATATTTGTTCAACTATTACTAACAGAGTTCTAGGGAGTTTTGGGAGATAAATTAGGAAAAGATTGAACCCAGATTATAGAACTGAAAATGCCTGATTAAGAGTTTCAATTTGTAGATTAAAGCAAGAGAGCCTTTGAAGTTGTTTGAGAAAGGTCTGATGTAAAAAGACTGTTTTAAATTTAAGTGAGAAAATGTTTATTGAGAAAATAGACAGTTATTAAGTTCCTATTATAGGAAAGCTCCATGGTAAGCACTACTGTGAAAGTGCTACACTGAATATGCCAGCACATTTGGAAAACTCAGCAGTGGCCACAGGACTGGAAAAGGTCAGTTTTCATTCCAATCCCAAAGAAAGGCAATGCCAAAGAATGCTCAAACTACCGCATCTCACATGCTAGCAAAGTAATGCTCAAAATTCTCCAAGCCAGGCTTCAACAGTATGTGAACTGTGAACTTCCAGATGTTCAAGACTAGATTTAGAAAAGGCACAGGAACCAGAGATCAGATTGCCAACATCTGCTGGATCATCAAAAAAGCAAGAAAGTTCCAGAAAAACATCTACTTTTGCTTTATTGACTAGGCCAAAGCCTTTGACTGTGTGGACTACAACAAATTCTGGAAAATTCTGAAAGAGATGGGAATACCAGACCACCTGACCTGCCTCTTGAGAAATCTGTATGCAGGTCAGGAAGCAATAGTTAGAACTGGACATGGAGCAACAGACTGGTTACAAATAGGAAAAGGAGTACGTCAAGGCTGTATTGTCACCCTGCTTATTTAACTTATGTGCAGAGTACATCATGAGAAATGCTGGGCTAGAGGAAGCACAAGCTGGAATCAAGATTGCTGGGAGAAATATCAATAACCTCAGATATGCAGATGACACCATCCTTATGGCAGAAAGTGAAGAAGAACTAAAGAGCCTCTTGTTGAAAGTAAAACAGGAGAGTGAAAAAAGTTGGCTTAAAGCTCAACATTCAGAAAACTAAAATCATGGTATCTGTTCCCATCACTTCATGGGAAGTAGATGGGGAAACAGTGGAAACAGTGACAGACTTTATTTTCTTGGGTTCCAAAATCACTGCAGATGGTGATGGCAGCCATCCAATTAAGACGCTTACTCTTTGGAAGAAAAGTTATTACCAACCTAGACAGCACATTAAAAAGCATAAACATTACTTTGCCAACAAAGGTCTGTCAAAGCTGTGGTTTTTCCAGTAGTCATGTATGTATGTAAGAGTTGGACTATAAAGAAAGCTGAGCACCAAAGAATTGATGCTTTTGAACTGTGTTGTTGGAGAAGACTCTTGAGAGTTCCTTGGACTGCAAGGAGATCCAACCAGTCCATCCTAAAGGATATCAGTCCTGAATATTCATTGGAAGGACTGATGTTGAAGCTGAAACTCTAATACTTTGTCCACCTGATGTGAAAAACTGACTCATTTGAAAAGACCCTGATGCTGGGAAAGATTGAAGGCAGGAGGAGAAGGGGGCGACAGAGGATGAGATGGTTGGATGGCATCACTGACTCAATGGATATGAGTCTGAGTAAACTCTGGGATTTGGTGATGGACAGGGAAGACTGGTGTGCTGCAGTCCATGGGGTTGCAAAGGGTCGGACATGACTGAGCGATTGAACTGAACTGAAGCACAAGAGGAAGAAGGTCCTTGCCTTTAAGGAATTTCTGCTCGATAGGTGTTCTGTTTTTGTTTTTAACATGGGTGGGGCACCTGAGATTTTAACCAGTGTGATTTTCCTATGCTTTCTCTACCCCAGCCTGTTCCCTCAGGGTATGGATATTACAGAGATTTAGAAAGAAGAGTCAACTCTTGACTTCTAGGTCTTGAAATGGGCTTTAGGAAGTCATGGCAGAGACAAGAGTTTTAGAGAAAAGGCCTGGGATTTCATGAGCCGCAAGGCAACATAAACTATAGTTTTGGAATTATAATTTGCGGCGGGGGGTGGAGGGGGGTGTTGGCCCAAAAGGTACTGTTAATGGTTCTCCCACAGTCTCTCTCAACTTGCCATGTTTAAAAAAATATTGTTGTTTAATGATATTCTAAGTAAACAAAGGGAGATCCCTTGTGGCTCAGTGGTAAAGAACCTGCTTGCTGATGCAGAAGTCACATGTTTGATGCCTGGGTCAGGAAGGTTCCCTGGAGAAGGAAATGGCAACCCACTCTAGTATTTTTGCCTGGAAATCCCACGGACAGAGGAGTCTGGCAGGCTACAGTCTATGGGGTCCCAAAGAGTCAGACACAACTTAGTGACTCAACAAAACAAAAAGTAAACACAAATTGAAAATATTAGCCTGAATTTCATTGTTTATTTTTATATTGTAAAATATCCACTTTAAATGCAAATATAAGAGCATTCAACTTATAAGC